GGCCAACCCTAGGGACCTTGGAGGGGATGGACCGAAGACAGTGACATAGCCATTTGTCTCGTGCCATCCCTCTCCAGCCTTCCACAAACCTTGGGCAGGGACACCACTCGTACCCCCTGGCTAATACCACTCCATGGACCCAACCTCCATGACTTGATCTCACTTCCCTTTAAACTCTGTTCTAGTTGTAGCCTTCACAGCCTCCTGCAGCAAGGAGTTCCACAGATTGACTATTTGCTTTGTGAAGAAGAACTTTGTTGTTAGTTTAAAGCCTACCCATTCATTTCACTTGGTGTCCTTTAGTCCTTCTATTATGGGAACTAATGAAGAACTTTTCTTTATGCACCCTCTCCACACCACTCATGCTTTTATAGACCTCTATCATATCCCCCTTCAGTCTCCTCTTTCCTAAGCTGAGAAGTCCCAGTCTCTTTAGCCTCTCTTCATATGGGACCTGTTCCAAACCCCTGATCATTTTATTTGCCCCCCCAGCCGCTCTCTTCCCCTCCTCCTTTTCCCAGTCTCCCCCAGTTTTGTTCAATAAAGACAGATTCCATTTTTGAACACAATTGTCCTTTATTTTGTACAGCAAGAAGAGGGGCTAGGGAAGGGTAAGTGGAAGGAGGTGAGGGAGGAATGGGGCACGAGCCCCCGATGGGGAGGACTGGGCTGGCTCTGCGGGCTTCTGGGGGTGGAAGCTTTCCTGCAGCCCCCCAATTGCCCCCGGGCTGATGGCCGAGTGGTGTGATGTGCCCAGTGTGGGCACTCCGGGCACTCCAAGCCAGGACTGGTTTACAAGCGGGGCACCCCTGAGAACTGTCTGTCCGGGGTGGGGGTCGGGTCCCTTTAAGTACAGCCCTCGGCTAGCCTGAAACAGCATCTCCACGCTCTAAGTCCTCCTCTGATGCCCTGCCGGCACTGCTTCCGGCCATCCTTAAGCCCTGTTCAGGGTCCACTTAATGTGGACATGCTAGTTCGAATTAGGAAAACGTTAATTCGAACTAGTTTTTAATTCTAGACGCGTTAGTTCGAATTAGCTTAGTTCAAATTAACTAATTCAAACTAATTTAGTTCGAATTAGCACTGTAGTGTAGACATACCCTAACAGAGTTTAAAGAGAAGTTAGATAAATTCATGGTCCTTGGAGTGCTATTAGCCAGGGGGTAGCAATGGTGTCCCTGGCCTCTGTTTGTGGAAGTCTGAAGACGGATAGCACAAGACAAATCGTAGATTGTGCAATTTTTGCATATATTGGTGAGCATTCTCTTAGACTGACAAAGTCGTTCAATGGGGTGTAAAATGAACAGCTGCTCTGGGCAGGTACTTATCAGTGTGAGAATTACACACTGAGTGCTTACATTGTGCATCAAGGAAGATTTTTATATCCCTTTCACTACTGTAAAAATTAAAAACATACCCATACTCCTGTTTTACTCTAATTACTGTTTTATTTATGTGGTACAACAGCAACTGTGGTGGCTTTGCAGGCTGGTACTCCATTGCAGGAAAAATCAATGATGCAGACCCTATTCTGTCTTGTAATGTTAAAAAAAAAAACCCAAAACAACAACATGTACCAGTCCTGGAACTTATGTTCTTAGCTCAGGGCTCAGGGCCA